AACACCCTTCCTTCAAAGTCTTTGTTAAGAGGAATTGATTTATGATAGCAAATGGTATAATACAAAGTGGCAGAACTAAAGAGAATCCCAATGGGAGATATTCATTAAACAATTCAAGGGCTGCTACTAGAGAACTGCTCCTAGGAGTCTTGGTGTTCTATCTGCTATGTTCCTTGGAATTCTTTTACCCTAAGGGACTTTTGATCAACTGCAATTTCACTAAAACCAATGAACAGGCAGTTCTTGGAGAAGCAAAGCCATTATCAAAGAACATAATTCTCTTTCTCGCGATTGGAGAAATGTGGCAGAGGATATCACCTGCCCACTCTTACAAAACAATCAAGACTCCAAACAAGTTTCTTCAGGCAATTTCCTATGTTAACTGAAAGTTATTCATGGCTTTTCCTTTCTCGCATAATTCCTCCCCTCAACTGAAAAGCGGGTTGACTGCATTTATTATAATATCACTAATAATATGCCTAAAATCTTTACCAACTGTCTAATTTCCTCTCAAAATATTTAGATGTAAACATTCTACAAATTTAACCTTGAAGAAATCTCTCCCAGAGCCTCTGTCCTATTCTGTGTTGATGGATTATCCTCTTAATCTTCTTTTCACTTGTTTCCTGTATTCATGTCTTCCCTTTTGGTTTATATCCAGTTTTGAGGCAGCATATCCTCCAAAAACTTACTGACAAAGAGGATGTGGAAGTTGATTTTTGAGATCTTGCACGGCTAAAAACTTAGAATTCTAGGTTGGAATTAATTTTCTCTCACAATTTTGAATGAACTGCTCCACTGCTTCCTGCTTAAATGACTGTACTTGAGAAATCTGAAGCCACTCTGAACCCAGATCTATAAGACTTTTATTCTCCCTCTCTTTGGAAGCTGTTAGATCTTTCCTTTATCCCGGGGTTCAGAAATTCCATGGTGTTGTATATGGTGTGGGTCTCTTTTCATCTGCTGTGCTGGGATCTTGATGGTTTCTTTCAAGGTGGAAACTCATGTCCTTCAGTTCTGGGATATTTTTTTAAATTATCTTGTTATATTCATATTTTATTTTTAAAATAAAGTTTAAAAAATAAGTGTATAACATTCACACACACAAACATGCACAAATCTTATCTACAGTTTGTAAACATTTCTAGGTCAATGCTGTTTATTAATATTTAAAAGTAAGGCACTAAAATGCTGATTAGAAACTGTAGTCATGTTGGGAACTGGAAACTTGAATATTATCTCTGATTCTTCATTCTTACTGAATGTCCTTGTATCCAATAAGATATTAAGGCTTGTCAATTCCACCTTTAGAGCTCTCTTATCTCATTCTTAACATTCCATTGTCTGTCTTATAGCCACTGCCCCGAACGCCAATTCATCCTATTTTGTCCATTCTGCCTTTAAGTCTGGTTTAAATGCCACCACTTCCATGAAGTATTCCTTTATGTTCTTCAGGTTAAGCAAACTCCTCCTTCTCTAAAAGACTTTCGCACTTTGTTAACATTTCTCTCATGCGCTTAATATATTTAAAATTTATTGTCTATATTGCATGTGTTTTATTTTCTATTCTACAGTATAATAACGTTTTAAAGAAAGAGACTTTGAAGGAATCTATCTTTGACCTTCCTCACTACATAGTTTTTGTTATGCCATTAGTATATATGCTCAATGAATACACAAATTAGGAACCATTGAGGGAAACAAAAGAAACAGAGGACATGGCCCCTTTTCTTCTAGGGAAAGAAGTATATCTACAGCTACAGCTAATCTACAATATAGCAGCCACGCAACATGTAAAAGGTTAAATGCCCCTCCACTTAGGTCAGGAATACATGCTTTTTCATTGAACGTTGCCACTATTGTGCCAGTGGGTTCCATCCCTGGTAGCCAAAATATAGGGATTGCTGCCCTTTAATGAATATAAATTAACAGTTAATATAAATTAACAGTTAGCTTATGATAAAAGCCTGTTTGAATTAACTGACATTTGAGAAAAATTTAAAAGGTCATACTAAGCTTCAATCCTCTATAAAGTTTTAAGTTCTATCTTTAGAATGAGAAAACTATAAACCTACAATTGTATTAACTTAGATCTTTACAAGAATGACTTCATTCAATTGCCCTTTAATATTATGCCATCAGCTTTTTATAAAGAGTATGTCATACTAAGAGTGTTTTTGCATCTTCTGTAACATGACTGTTAGAAAATATTTACATTATTATGTATTAGGTTGAACCATATGAAATTGTTAATATTCAAATGATTTCAGCTTTTTAAAAGGGTAATTTCATATGGTTCACTTAATAGGCCAATATTTTTATAATGAATTGTACAATTTAAGTCATAATTTAGCAGTATGAAAAATTTTGTCTCATTTGTCAAAGTAATATGCTCCCTCGACTCTCAAATATGATAATGACATTGTACAGAATGATTCCTTTTTGCTTTAGCTGCCAGGAAGCTCAATGCTGAATGTATGGCTCAACTGTGATCCATTTTCTTAGCCTAGGTGTTGTTATAATTATCTGTATGTTTCTTCATTTGATCTTTCTCATTTTTATTGTTTGTTTTTCTGAAAAAGAATATTGTAGCACACGTGCACACACACACAAGTGTAAATGACTGGTTACCTAATGTATTGCTGTTTTGAGAAGGATTTTCCCTGAATTTGGCAGGGAAAAGTACTAAGATTAACTGGTGATATTCCATATAGACAATGGAAGGGGACTAGGTAGAATACCATCTATTTCCAGCCCTATGCCAGAGGCTTAAGTGTTCAAAGTCTACAATGATGAGGCACTTGAGAATTAATTATGAAAGCCAGTTGGCAAGAGGTAAGATTCAAACTGAATTTGGAAATAAGAGAGCAGCATTAATTGATAGAAAGGGTAAAGGCATTCCTGCCAGAAGCAGTGAAATACAAAATAGACAGTTAAATGCAAAGGAACAAACTTTATATATATGCAAACATTTGAACGCAGATTAGTTTGGTTTAAGGATGGAATCTGTAAGAAAAAGAATATTCACACAGTCTCAAAGTTATCACTTCACAGATAACTTAATTACAAAAAGGAAAAAGATTGTTTATTTGACAATAAACAAATTTATCAAATCTAACCTAGGATCAAACTTAAAATCACAATTAATGGGCTAAACTGTTATCATGTGCCTCTTTATAGGGTGCAATGATAAGGATATATCATTCATACCAAAAATGTTTAACCTCAATCTGATTATGAGAAAGCAATCAGAAAAATCTAAATTGAAGAACATTCTTCAAAGCAACTAGCCTGAGTATTTAAAAAATGTTAATTTCATAAAAGACAATAGAAGAGCAGGGAAACTTTGTTCTAGATTGAAGGAAACTAAAGGGCATGACAACCTAATGCAACAAATGATCCCATACTAGATCACGCACTGGAATAGAAAAAATACTTACAAAGTCCATTATTGGAACAATTGGAGAAATTTGAAAATGGGACTATATATTAGACAATAGTATTATATGAATATTAAGGTTCCCAAGTGTGATAAGTGAATTGAGATTGTATAAGATAATGCCGTTTTCTTGAAAGCTACTGCAGAATATCATAATGTTGTTGACTAACTCTCAAATTGTTCACCAAAAAAAAAAATTTAAATAAGTATAACTATATATATGTGTGTGTGTGTATGGAGACAGAGAGAGAGAAAGAGAGAGAGAGGAAAGAGAATGTAGCAAAACCTGGTGAAGAACATACAAATACTCATTGTACTATCTTCCAGTTTTTCTGAAGTCTTGAAATTAAAAAAAAAAAAAAAGGAAAGACACTACAAAATCTGGGTCAAATTTCACAGATTACAGATATGTAAACTGAAAGCTAAGAAATTTTAATCACACAGGATAAATGAGAACAAGGAATGCCCAGAGATAGGAAACTGAGTACCAGGTAGATATTCTAAACCATCTTAGCAGTTATGAGGGTCTGGATTAGGGTCAACTGTAGATACGCAAAGGAGGGAGTAATATAAAAAAGCAATATAACAGAAAGCAGCAGAAAGACTTAGTGCTATATCAGAAGGAGGAGACAGAAATGACTAATATATAAAAGATGGGAAAATAACAGTGCTAGGGATAATAAAGAAAAACTGGAATGAAATGGGCACTTAGGATAAGAAATTTAGTTTAAGACATGTATGTTTCAATTGGAATATACCAGAATGTAAACTATACTAGAATGTAAAAACCAGGAGGGTAGGACTTTTTGTCCTTTTTGTCTACTAATATATCCAAGTGACTTGAACAGTGCCTAGTAATAAACACTGGTAATAAACAAATGAAGTGTTTATGAGGCATTCAGGTACAGATACACAAGAAACTAATGAGAAATTTAAGAGAATAGGAAAAGATATTTACTGTGTAGGTTGTTAGGAAAGTGGACATGTTTACAGTCTCCCCCTTCTTCCAAGTCAGTTTACAGAGAGCTCTACCTGGGGTTTTGAGTATAATCCCAAATAATAAAGTTGTCTATTTATTTTTCCATCATTCCCTTTATGTGTAAAGGGAATGTGTTTACAAGAAACCTCACTGGGAGGATGAATGGCTATGGGCATATATAAGTTAGTACCATCAAAACTCTATGATTATTCTTAACAGATTTCATTAGCTAGAATGGGGAGCTCGGGTGTCAGTATCACCTGGGAGTTTGTCAGAAATGCAAATTCTTAGGCCTCAGCCCAGATCTACTGAAGCTCTATGAGTATTGGGCCCGGTTATCTGTGTTTTGAGAAGCCTTCCAGGTGATTTTAAAGGTACTAAATACTTAATTGATAATCTATTTACCTAGAAGTCTAACTCATTCTTCTTGAGATACAGCTAAAAATTTACAGACCCAATTACATAAAAAGATATTTGTAATAAAATAAATGTAATATGTGTAACATATCACATAGTCATAATCCATCATCTAGTGATCAAACCAGGCTACAGTTAAAGAATTTTTAAAGGTTATCTACTTACTTTAATGTTTCAGCAAGAAAGAAGCTTTGCTGTACATCATCATGTGTAGGAGTAGAGGAATATACATCCTTGACCCCAGAAAATCCACCACTGACTCGGCAATACTTTTCGATGGCCTATGAAAAAAGATCAGAAAAAGAATCAATTTCATAGAATTTCAAGTTTTGAAAGAAAACGAAACTTTGAAGGACAACAGTAAAAAATTCAGAGATCTGTATGAAAATTTGATGGTTTAAGAATAACATTATCAAAAGGAAATATTCTTATACTAGAAAAATTAATTCACACTGGAAACAAGCTGTTTTCTACGCAATTTCTCCCTCTCCAAAACTCTTTAATCTTTTTAAGACATCTTATATTTTCCTAATTTAGAAGTCAAATTTAGGCTATTCTTTCTAAATTAGGGACCTGTCTGGTACCATAAAGTCTTGTTAATTTTCACAAATCAAGATGGAGGTCTGTTTGAATTAAAAACTTGAATCGCGGCCGTGCGTGGTGGCTCACGCCTGTAATCCTAGCACTTTGAGATGCTGAGGCGGGTGGATCGCTCAAGGTCAGGAGTTCGAGACCAGCCTGAGCAAGAGCGAGACCCCGTCTCTACTAAAAATAGAAAGAAATAGCTGGGTGTGGTGGTGCATGCCTGTAGTCCCAGCTACTTGAGAGGCTGAGGCAGAAGGACTGCTTGAGCCCAGGAGTTTCAGGTTGCTGTGAGCTAGGCTGACTCCATGGCACTCTAGCCAGGGCAACAGAGCCAGACTCTGTCTCAAAAAAAAAAAAAAAAACTTGAATTGCAATTTTGTCACTTTCAAGGACAAACAATAATCCACAACATGCTAAAAAGGTATTAGCTATCAGCTCTCTATGCAGTGGTCCCCAACCTTTTTGGCACCAGGGACAGGTTTGGTGGAAGACAATTTTTATGCGGATCGGGTAGGTTGGGGAGAGGCGGAGCACAAGTGGTGATGAGAGTAATGGGGAGAGGCTGTAAATACAGAGGAGGCTCTGCTTGCTCTCAGAGCTCACCTCCTGCTGTGTGCCTCCCCACCTCAGTTCCATGGAAGACAATTTTTCCACGGACAGTGGGGGGAACTTTGTGGCCCAGGGGTTGCAGACTGCAGCTTTATAGTAATAGCAGTAAGAGGATATATTTACTGCAAACATACTTAAATGCCAGACATTGTAACTAACAGAATCCCATAAATTAGGCATTATAGGTGTACCAACTAGCAGGAAGAACCCACCCACACATCTACTATAATAATTACAATATCAAGAGCTAACAATTATGAAGTATTTGCTACACGCTGAAGGCTGTTCTATGAGCTTTACATGCAGTAACGTTTAAATTTCACGCCCTATTAGGTTAATAGCTGTATTTTTCAAAAGGGAAAACTGAGGCATGGAGTAATTTGTTCCACATTGTTAACTACTGTGCTTTACTGCTTGACTGGGAGTTAAAATTCTTCATTTATATCTCTTTTTACATTTTTGAATATGCCTAAATGAAATATACTGAATCAAATGGAATCTATTTACAACTCTATTTTTAATTCAAAGCAACCAAATATCCTGCTTATACAGATATATCACATTCCAGAACTAAGCTACTCATGAAAAGTTGAAAGTACACGTGGTTCTTTTCTTTTCCTACTCTACCCAACCCTGAGATATTGTCCAATGAAGGTATATTACTTTACTAATCACTGCTGGCTGTTATGGCTTACTGTTCCTAGTCTTGCTGCTTTTCTTACTCTCTGGTCTTCTTCCTCTCTAATGAAAAGCTAATTAACACTAAAAAGTGTTTATTTAATCAAACTGTTCATTTTATAGCTCCATTTTGATTATAGCTGGGTTTTAAAACCTTCTCACCAAAGGGTTGGGAGCTTTTCTCTATCTAAATATTTTAAACATATTTTGAATGCAAGATTTTTAAATACTTCCTTCACAAGGATCATGTGTCTTTCCCATCATATGAACTATCACAACAGTTAAAGAATACTGAGAAAGTAGCAGGGAGGCACGACTAATCTTTAAGACATTTAGAGTCATTTCTTGGGGGTAAGTTTTCATGCATAATATACTCAAGTTTGGAAGTCTGAATATCTAAATGGAACAACTAAGGCTACAGAAGACAGTACACCACCATTCTGTCTCTCCCGCCCTTCCCTTTACTCTCTTCATGTCCAACAGCAGAGGCCAATGGTGATGTGCAAGCAAATTCTATTTACAACGTGAAGCCACTTCTTTTGTCTCCATTCCCCCTCTTGTCATCATGGCACATTTTTGAAACCTGAATTTAGAACATAACTCTTCCAGTTATGGTTCATGAAAGATTATTTTGAGTTTGTGTATGTCCATTTGGGGTATAAAAGCAAAATTCTAACTCATATAATTCAAATTTGGACAAATATGGGCTAAAGTTTGAGCTTGTCAAACCTCTTCTTAATAGGTAAGAGTGGGGCCATACTTTAAGAAAGCATATAGGAAAAAAGGACCTGGGAGTAAGGATAAATTATTGTATAATGTTTCTCAATGACAGGAAGTGCTTCTGCCCCTACCTTCCAGCCCCCACCTCACATGATTCAGAGACATCTCCCTGATTCCCGTAAGTAAGAACCATTAAGTATCAGGGGACATTCAAGTCAAACAGATTCACTACAGGACTATTTCACCTATCTATTTCCCTTACATAAAATAATTGCTTGATTTACATAAGCATTAGTAAGCCTATTAACAACAGAAGAGAGAGAGAGAGAGAGAGAGAGAGAGAGAGAG